CCTGGGTCTAACCCAGGCCAGGAGGCCGGAAGTCAGGAATCCACCTCCTCCCGACACAGCTCCCCAAAGGCTGCTCTGGCTCCCTCTGCATCCCACTGACCCTGCCACCCAGCAGACTGAATCCAGCTCCGCCCCACTTTTCAACACTTAAGGTTAAAATGGGGAGGTTGCAGGGGGCAGGGTCTCTCTAGCTCCCCCTTTCCTGTACCAGACTCTGCAGAAGCCCCAGAGATCTGATTAACTCATGCCATCCAGTCTACAGCAAAAATATTTATTGAAGGCCTGCTGTGTACAGGCATAATTCTAGGTGCCAGGGAATACAGACAAAAGTCCCTGCCCTCAAGGATCTTTCATTCTGGTGGAGAAGACATAATAAACAAGTAAAATGTACTGTGTGTCAGTTGGCGCCAAGTGCTCGGTGAAGCAGGGGAGCAGGTAGGAGGGAGCACGGGCGAGGTCGAGATGGGATGCCCGTTCAGCCAGCTGTCTGTCGACCGCTCCATTTGCCAAGCGCTTGCTGTGGGCCGGGCCCTGCCTGGCACTGAGTAAACGCTGGGAGCTCAGCTGCGAGTGGTGGCACAGGGAACACTGGACCAAGATCCCAGGAGAGTTTCTCCCCTGGCTCTTCCACTGACGTTCCATCCACCAAGCGTGTACCGCACCAGCTCTGCACCAGGCCCTGGGATGCTGAGCTAAACAGACATGGTAGAGTGGAGATGCTCTGGTAAGTTACCCCTCACGCCTACAAATTGGGGGTCAGTGCTGCAGCCCTGTGCAGTCGGGAGGGAGGTGGGTGCTGCACAGATCTAGGGATTACCAGCATTGCTCAGAGGGCGTCCCAGGGAACTGTAGGCTGGCACATGTGTCAGATGAGCTAGGAAATATCACCGGCTGTGGTCACGGAGGTTGCGGGGCTCATCTAAACACTAAAGACCTTCAATAAGGATGTCCATTGCACTTTGATTAGCACAGGTTTCCCAAACTTTTGACTACAGCACCCCTTGCTTTTTCCACTTGGGGCAATGCTGGGTCGGACAGGTAGAGATGGGGGCTCCCATGCAGCTGCTATCTGAAGGACCTTAGGTATGTGGGGGGGGTGCCCTTTCACGTACTAAATAGTAATTGAACAGGTAATGCCTAATGGTTGGTATGCAGTCCCTGCACCTTGGGCAGGTTACCTAACCTCCCTGCACCTCAGTTTGCACATGGTAAAAAGTGGGGCTAATAGAACCTGCCCCTGGAGATTGTGGGATAAAGCGTGTAGTTAAGTAAAGCGCAACTAAATGACCAAAGCGAGAAGGTTAGACCGGAAGTGCTTCCCCAACTTTTCCTCTCTCGCTTTCTACTCCAAAGCTGCGTCACTGGTTTCATGTAAAGCCCACCCCGCCCGTCATCTGCTGAAAACAGCTTCGGGAGATGCGTCCTGGGTACCTTGGGGCGTCCACTACCCTAGTTTGAGATGTCTTAGCGTTTTAACCTCGCATTCTTCAGAGTGTGGTCCCATCGCCTCCTGGGAGCTTGTCAGAAATGCAGATTGTCAGCACACCCGCCCGGCGGCCCGTTCAAGCAGACAGGATCCCTGGGTGACTACCGCATAAGAAAGTTTGAGAAGCACGGCTTTAGCTCACTTCGTTTCTGAAAAGGATACACTGAGTCACGGGGGGCGCTTTAACATGCAGATTCCTTAGCCTCCGACTAAACGTCCGGGCCCTGGGGAAGCTGCTGCGCGCGATCGCTCCCTGCTCTTGCCTCCCGGGGACGGGGGGAGAATGGTCTGAGCCTGGCGATCCCCGGCCCGTGCCTCCTACGCCGAGGTGGTGCGCAGCGCCCGGTTCAGGGGGCCCCGCTCGTCCTGGGATCGGGCCCGGTCCCTCCGCGGGGGCGCCGCGCGGCCACCCCGCAGCCAGCCGAGCAGGCCTGCGGGCCCGAGCGGGGACAGGCGGCGGCCGCCCAGCGAGGAGGAGGAGGCCGAGGTGTTGGTGGAGGAGGTGCGGCGGCGGCGGCGGCTGCTGCCGCCCCCGCCGCCCAGCTCGCTGTCGTCCACCAGCACGCTCTCCAGCACGCTCCGCAGCGAGCGCCGCAGCTTGCGCAGCACGTCGGGGCAGGTGAACACGTAGAGCAGCGGGTTGACCACGCTGTTGACGAAGGCCAGGCTGCTGACGAACGGCAGCCCGCGCCACACGAGCGGCCGCAGCGCCGGGTCCGCGTGCGCCCGCGCCTCCAGCACGCTGAACACGTGGTAGGGCCCCCAGCAGAGCGCAAAGGCCGCCACCACGGCCGCCACCAGGCGCACAAAGCGGCCGGGCCGCCGGCGGCCGCGGTGGCGCAAATGCGCGCTCACGGCCACGTGGCTCGAGGCGATGATGGCCAGCGGTACCGCGAAGGCCAGCAGGAACTTGCTGACGGCCAGGGCCGTCTGGCGCGAGTTGCACGTGGCATCGCGGTCGGGCCCGGGATTCAGGAGCAGCACGTTGTAGTAGCACATGATGCGCCCGTCCGCCCGCGGGATGGTGTCCCGGAAGATGAAGTAGGGCACGGTGTTGAGCACGGCCAGGGCCCAGAGCGCCAGGCATACCCTGTGAGCCACGGCCACTGTGCGGTGGTTCTGTGCCCACACGGGCCGCACCACCTGCAGGCAGCGGTCCAGACTGATGGCGCTGAGCAGGAAGCCGCTGGCGAACATGTTGAGGAAGAAGATGGAGGAGTGCAGCTTGCAGAAGGTGGTGCCCAGCTCCCAGGAGTGGCCCACGGCCAGGAAGTAGGTGAAGAAAGGCAGGGAGGCAGTGGCCAGCAGGTCAGACAGTGCCAGGTGCAGCACCCAGGTGGTGACCACGGTCTGGCGCATGCAGCAGCCCACCACGAAGAGGATGAGTCCGTTCTCCACCAGGCCCAGCAGCGAGGCCAGCCCATGCAGCAGCACTGACGCGTGGTCAATGTAGCGGATGCTGGAGTTGCTGTGGCTTTGGAGGCGGCTCATCTGCTCCAGGAGGGGACAGAGGGGCTTCATCGTGACGTTGGCCGACATCGTGGGCTCTGCGGCGGACAGAAAGAGGCACTGTGGTGAGCGGTGCCAGGAAACGGGCAACCCTGGCCAGGAGATGGGACTCTCACCCATGACAGTTATAGGTGAGGCCCCTGGGGATCAATGAAGTTGAGCAAGGGCAGTAAGGTGGGGGGATGACATCCCAGCCCCACCACCTGCTCACTGTGCAACCTTGGGCAGTACACTTAACCTTTCTGAGCCTGTTTGCTCCTCCGTAACATGGATGGCTGTCATACAGGGCAGGGTCTAGGTCATAGGGTTGTTGGTTGTTGAATTAAATGAATTAATAATATATATAAGCATTTCAAGCAAGAGTAAGCGTGCAGGAAGCACTGCATCAATGGCGCTGTGATTATCATTAAGCAGATGGCCTAAGATCACTTGGAGAAATAGGAACCAAGGTCAGGCCACGAAGGGCTCCTTTTCCCAATCCCCAGAGCACTGGGGTGTGAGCGAGGCCCCCCTGAAGGGCAGGAGGATTCAGCTGGGCTGGAGGATGGGAATGGAAGGCAGAGTCCGTGCATTTAAGGGATGCCCCACCCACGCACCCACCCACGGCACCCCCGGACCTTGCCTCTCTGCAGATTGTCCTGTGGCCCTTCGCTCCCAGAGTGGTGGCTGGTTGGGTGTGTTGACTGCAAGCAGTGGAGCCAGCCCCTCCTTTGGTAGATTAAGAGGAAATAAGATAAGAGCAGGGAGAGAGCTGGGCAGAAGGAACTACCAGATTTGGGCTCCGGAGGCCCGGTAGGGCCAAAAGACCTCTCCCCTGCTCAGGGGCAGCCACAGGCGCTCGGCCAGCCCCAGGAAACCCAGCCCTGTTCATACTCATTCAACAGCTATTTACTGAGCGACTACTCAGCTAAGCGCTGGAGAAGCCAGCCCCTGGCCAGATGTGCAGACCCACAGCCTCATCAAGAACCTGAGGCTGGAACTTGCCTGGTGGCGCAGTGGTTAAGAATCCGCCTGCCAATGCAGGGGACACGGGTTCAAGCCCTGGTCTGGGAAGATCCCACACTCCGCGGAGAAACTAAACCCATGCGCCATAGCTACTGAGCCTGCGCACCACAACTCCTGAAGCCCGCGCACCTAGAGTCTGTGCTCCGCAACAAGAGAAGCCACCGCAATGAGAAGACCGCGCACCGCAACGAAGAGTAGCCCCGGCTCGCCGCAAGTAGAGAAAGCCCCGCGCGCAGCCACAAAGACCCAACGCAGCCCAAAATAAGTTTATTTTTTAAAAAAAATAATAAATAACCTGAGACCATCTGATGTGGAGCCAGTGGAGATCAGTGAGGGCAGAGGAGGTCAGGGTGGGAGACTGCCTGCAGGAGGTGGGGACCGACAGATAGCAGGGGGTGGGAACTCGGATTGTCCTGGGCCCCCCATGGCGTACCAGGGGCTGCGGTAGGGCCTTCGCATAGGTGCTCTCCTGCTACAGCTCTAGAAGAAAACTGTCCGCACTTCTCTCCATCCCGTTCTGCAGATGAGGAAACTGAAACTCAAGTGTTCAAAGCTTCCCGAACAACACAGGCACGCGGAGGAACGACAGTTTAGCGCTCAGCCTGTTCTCTTTCCTCTACCTCTGCTCTAAGCACGAGATGATGGAGAAAGAAGAGAAGGAAAGTGGGGTGGGGGGGGGAGGTGTTCTTCAGTATTCGTCTTTCCACCGGAGGCACTGTTGGCCAGGATGAGAAAATCCACACCCTTCTCCAGGGACCACGGTCCTCCGTAGGGTGAGTGTGCCGGATATCAAACTAGAATTTCCTTGGCAGGTGAGCCGCTTGGAGCTGGGGACACGCAGGTGGGGGGAGGGGAGCTGTTGTCCCTGTGCTCCCTGAAAATGCTCGTATTTCCCAAGCTCTAGAGTCTGCAGAGCGATTACATTCACAATGACCCTGTGAGACCGCATTTTTTAGAAGAGGAAACAAAGGTTCAGAGAAGCACAGCAACTTGCCCAGTGTCCCTCAGCTGCAGTGGAAGGGAGAGAACCCCACTCCCAGCAAACACACACGAGCCATTCCCACTCTGCTGAAACATTCCCTTTGGCCCCATCTAAGCCCCATGGGGATGCTCAGACAGCACATCCTGCTATCTGCTGGGGACTGAGTATGCTGCCCGCATGCCCAGCTGGGAGGTAAGCTGCTTCCCCTTGCCGGCCCCCACTTGGCAGTCTGTGCCCAGAGCAACAGTGTCACCTCCCCGGCTGAGTGAGGTGTCCTCGTTCACAAAGCACCCAGTATGGGCTTCCTGGCTGACAGAGTCCGGCCTCCAGCCTCCCCAGGTTCTCAGGGAGCCCAGCAGCGAAGGTCCTGTTTTGACAGAGGGCTGGGGTCAGAGAATACCAGCTTTTGGTGTCAGAGACCTGGCTTTGAATCCCAGCTCCTCGGCTTCCTGGCTGGGTGCACTTGGGTGATTTACCTTAAGACTGCTCGTGTAACCCTCCCCCCAGATCGCTCCTGAGTCTGGAAAGAGAAGCTTTAATGGTTGACCACTGCACCTGGCATCTAGTTATTCCCTAGGAAAATGTAGTCCTTTCCTCCTCAGAGCAGAAAGTCCCCTCCAGTCTTTGGTAAGCCCAACCCTCCGCCATCCTAGCTGGTAACAACCCTCTCCTTTGATAAAACTGTGCCTTCTCTCCTGGGTCCAGAGAGGGCACTGAGGCTGCCCAGCCCTGGGGCCACCGTCTCCTTACCTGGGCACAGAGGGAGCACAGGATTCCAGCCCCAGAGGCAGTCAGCTTCTGCAGGCAGCGCGCAGGCAGAGGCAGGGGAGGGAGGCTGAGGGAGGAAATAGATGTCAGCCCCAGAGTGTGTGTGTGTGTGTGTGTATTTAGGGGTGGGGTGGGGGGAGGCGGGGACAGCTAGAGAGTGAGTTGTCACACTGGTGTTCAAGTAACATCCATCTCCATTGATGCGGACTGGATGTAACTGCTGGCAGCCCAGCTCATCCTACCTCCCTTTACGAAGGAGATTTTGCAAAAGCCCAAGGTGGAGTACAAGTGCACGTGGGGACACAGGTGTGAGCCAGAAAGTGTGAGCCCTAGTGTGCATGGGGGGTGCTTTTGAGAGCGGCAGGTGTGTAGGAGAAGTGAGGAGGAGGGCGTCCTGTCCGTCTGTCCACTGTCCTGGACTGCCCACCCCTGACCCCATCACCCTCAGGAAAGAAACTGGTGCGGCTCCTCCCATGTGCCTGGGCAGCATGGGGGGCCCGTCTGCGAGGGCCCCCAGGGGCTCTATGGCCAGGAAGGCAGGGCGGGTCCGTGGTAAGAACACAGGCCTGGCTGTCCATGCTGCCCGCATGCCCAGCTGGGAGGTAAGCCACTTCCCCTTGCCGGCCCCCACTTGTCCATCTGTGACCAGAGCGACAGTGTCACCTCCCAGGCTGAGTGAGGTGTCCTCATTCACAAAGCATCCAGCACACAGTAGGTACTCATAAAAATCAGGTTTCTTCCCTCTTGGGGAAAAATGGGTATAGGCTGCAGGGCAAAGGCAGTACAGCTTTTATTTTAAATGGGCTGCGAATTCCCTGGAAGTCCAGTGGTTAGAGCTCCACGATCTCACTGCCAAGGGCCCAGGTTTGATCCCTGGTCAGAGAACTAAAAACCCCACAAGCCATGTGGTGCAGCCAATAATAATAATAATAAATAATAATAAAATGGGCTGGGCTCAGAGCCCATGGATGAGATGATTGAACTGTACACATTTGCATTGACCTGTTCCCTAAGTCTTCACTCCTGTTCGCTGACCAAGATTCCTGGGACCTTTCCTCCAACCTCAGCATCCCAGCCACCGGGATACTCAAAACATGTTAAGAACTCAGTACCCCCAGATCAGGGCCAGGGCACCCCCATAGGATTGACTCTACAAAACTCTTCCATTTGGGTACAGACTTAATACAGGGCCTGGCACTGGATAAATCTGCTGACACACTGCAATCCTGAGTGAAGAATGTGACGGGGAAACTATTGCTCACCGTCATCCAAGACGGAGGATCAGTAAGAGCCTTGATTAAACAAATCAGTAGCACTAGGGTAATGTCCCCTTTCCTCTTAGTGACAGAGGGTCTCCGTCTTCTGAAGACAAGTGCCTACAGCCCTCCCTAGGTGGGTGTTTCCGTTCTACTCGGGGGAAAGTACCTTCATCCCCATCCACCCCCCTCCACACCCAACTTGCTGAGCCACAGACATCCTCTAAGGCCATGCAGGCAGTGAAGTGTGGCAGGTGACCTTGGGCAAGTAACTTCACAGCAATATGAATTTTTTTAAAGGTGCTCCTTCTGCACAGTCCCTGCCCCAAAGTGGTGCACAGACTGCTCTTTGGGCTTAGAAAGAATCCCCGCTTGGGAATTCCCTGGCAGTCCAGTGGTTAAGACTCCATGTTCCCAACGCAGGGGGGAACAAAGATCCCGCATGCCACGTGGTGTGGCCAAAAAAAAAGAACCCCTCCTTTCCTCCTATAACATATCTTAGCTCTAGGGAATCAGGCTTGGGGTGGGGTCCAGCCCTCCTCCTGGCTCTCAGCCCTCCCTCACCCCCTCCACTAGGTACCCTTGAGCAGTGAACACTCTGCACAAGCCCTGATGGCGGCCCTGCTCACCTGCAACGCTCACTCCTCTGCCCCTTCCCCCAACCCTCGTTTCCAATCCTGTAGCCACTGTGGTGACTGTCTCCCAACCATCCCCGAGGACAATTTATGAAAAGTTACTAAAACAAAGGAAGAAAGTACTCCAGATGAGCAGTGCCCTAAGGCATTTTCTAAACAAGGAGGCAGGGATGTTGGTTCCTGTAGGGCCCTTGGCTGCACTCCCACGGTGTAAACCTGCCTCCCACACAAGTCCCTCAGGCTCCACATGGAGGTGGTCTGGGCGGGAAGGAGTTCGAGTTGGGGTAGGGGGTGCAACGGGGAGGATGTTCCGCACCAGACACTTGAGAGAAAAAGTCTCGTGAGCCGTGGGGACTCTGAGCTGGGGCTCCCTGGCTGAAAGCAGAGGACAGGCGCCTCCAGGAGAAGATGCGATCAGAGAACCCTGCAGAGCCCTTCGCAGTGTCGGGCTGGCACTGTAGGCAGGAGGACAGCCAGGCTGCCAGATGGGCCCGTGTGGCGCTCGGAGTCCGGAGGAGAGTGACGTGATCAGGGCCGTGGCAAATAGACCAGCCAGTCCCACTTTGAATGTGCCTCAGAACCTACTGGAGGGCTTGTGACGTCCAGACTGCTGGGTCCCCCACCCCTAGTGCGTGCGATCCAGCGGGTCTGGGGATGCGGCCTGGGCATCTGCATTCCTAGCAAGTTCCCCAGAGCATGCTGATGCTGCTGGTTTGGCTGGGATGGAGAACTCGGGTTCCTTGCGTCTGGTGCACTCGGAGCGGGGAGCGGCAGCTGGGTCCTGGTGGCACTGGGGGGGGGGGCTGTCCAGTGACCCCCCCCAGGACCTGGAGAAAGATGCAGCCACCCCAGAGCACAGGCCATAGGCCCTGAAGCACAGCCTTCTCCATGGCTGGCAACTTGACATCAGAGCCTGAAAGAGCCAAAGTCAAGTCTGTCTCCCCATCAACCACACGTACTGCCCTGGAGGAGTCGAACCAGAGCGTCACAGAGCTCTGCGGGGGTTCTGCTGCCTGTGGGAACTGTCCAGGTTCTCAAAGCAGCCTTCAAGTCCTCTCGGGATCCAGCACACCGCCCGCCAGTCCCTGCCCCCTTCCTCTCGGCTCACCTCCAAGCCTTTGCACTCCCGGCTGCTGCTGCCTGGAATGCCTCTTCCCTCCCCCACTCATCTTGCAAGACCCCTTTCTTTCTTTTTTTTTTTTCTAACATCTTTATTGGAGTAGAATTGCTTTACAATGGTGTGTTAGTTTCTGCTTTATAACAGAGTGAATCAGCTATACATATACATATATCCCCTATCTCCTCCCTCTTGCATCTCCCTCCCTATCCCACCCCTCTAGGTGGTCACAGAGCACCGAGCTGACCTCCCTGTGCTATGCGGCTGCTTCCCACTAGCTATTTATTTTACGTTTGGTAGTGCTTATATGTCCATGCCACTCTCTCACTTCACCCCAGCTTACCCTTCCCCCGCCCCGTGTCCTCAAGTCCATTCTCTACGGCAAGACCCCTTTCTGTGATCATCAGTGTCTCTGGGCTCCCAAGAGAATGATCATGGCATCAAGTGTGTTTAACGAACAGTCAAGGGAATGGGCCAACTACCCCCCAGCCATGGGGCCAAGCCCAGAAGGGCTTTCTCCCTCCGGCCCTGCCTTAGGAAGCAGGCTTTCATGTTCCTTTCTGTTCTCTTTAAAGAGTCAATAAAACAGGAAGTGAGATGCACAAGAGGAAGCAGGTGAGGCATGCCCTGGACCCTCCATTCTCTCGTACTTGGGAGGCCCTGGAGTTGGCCACACACAGCAGAGGGGCAGGACCCCACAGGACACCTTGCACCGGGTGGAGCACCCTAATGCCACCATCACCCACAGGTGGAGGCTTAGCTCCTCACATGGCCAATAAGCCCCTCAGTGATCTGGCCCTGCCTGTGCCTCCACCTTCATTTCTGCTTCTCCCTAGTCACCTCCTATCGTCAGTCAGCATTCATCACCCTGGACGTACCAGGCTGTTTCTGTTCCCTTGTGCTGTTTGCTCCCTGCTCTAGAATACCACTTCCTCCCTTGGCCTCTCTGTGAACTCCTATTCATCCTTCAAAATGCTGCTCAGAGGTTACCTCCTCTGGGAAGACTTTGCTGAGCCTTTCAGACCCTACTTCCCACACCCCTGCCTCTGCACCTCTGCCCTCCATGGTAACTTTCACACAACTGTTCCCCACCCCATCACGAGCAACTGGAGGACAGAGACAGTTCCTATTTTATCTCCTCATCACCAAAGCCAAGCAGAGGGCCTGATGTGTGGGAGGGCTCTCAGTGAGCGTTTGCTGCACAGCGCGAATCTCTAGTATTGGAGATTAGGCCCGAAAAGAACCCCCAGTTCCTCACGGTGACCCATCTGGATCCACTGTTACTCATGGCCTGATGCAATTCTCCCAGACTCTGTTTTCACCTGTGGTGGGTACAACCCTGGGGACTAGTAACTCTCTGTTATTATTAACTAATAACTTCTCTCAGACCCACATGTATGCCAGTTAATCCTCACCAAAAAATATATACATATATAGTTTTTATATGCATTACATATATATGCTGCACCCAGGTAATCCAGGATGGTAGGGACTGTTATCTTACTCACTCCCAGAGAAGAAAACAGAGAGGTTGAGTGGCCCAGCCAAGGCCACTCAGCCAGTGGGCAGAAGAGCTGGAACTCAGAAGCACGTGCTCCAGGGACTTCCCTGGCGGTCCAGTGGTTAGGACTCCATGCTTCTACTGCAGGGGGCATGGGTTTGATACCTGGTCAGGGAACTAAGATCCCGCATGCCACGTGGTGCAGCCTAAACAAATAAATAAATAAGTAAAAAATAAATAAACCAGGAAAAAAAAAAAAAAGAAGAAGAAGGTGCTCCAGCACCAGAACCCAGCACTTCCCAGATGACTGGACTCTCTGAGGTTCATTGTCATCAGCTCTGCAGGGTAAGTAGGGCTGACTTTCAGCTGTTAAACATGCTCCACAAGCTTCAGGAAGCATCTCTGCAGCCAACAGGATCCACAGGTGTTACCGAGTCCAAGTTCGTGCTGTTTGCCACACTGTTTGCCAGTAAACTGAGAGACCAATTGTTGGGGCAAAGGCCTAGCGACCTATTCAGAAAGCCAGGAGACCAAGAAGATGGTGGACTTGTGTCCCAAAGGATTATCTTGCCTGAGTTAGAACTCAGGCTTCTTTTATACTAAAAGTTGTGTGTGTGTGGGGGGGGGGGGGAAAAGTAAAACACCTCCTGGTTCCAGCCAGACTCCAGAGGGGATGTGTTAATTTCTTCTTTCCTACAGCCATTCACAGGTGGGCTTGGTCAGGATGTTTCCTGTGAGCTAAACAAAGGGATTTTAGCTTAACACTCATTACCTGGGTGGCAGGGTTCCCAGAGATGGGCCATTATGTATAATTTAAGCTTATAGGCAAAATCCCTTTAGTGATTAACTTGTAGCAAAAGCAATAGAATACAAAGGTTAAAGTAAAAGAAACAGATCCAATATGGAGTCAGATTTGTTCTTCCCCATGACACAGGGACCATGCTAGGGCTTCCCCTGGGTCTGTCTGCAAGCCCCTGGGGTGAGGTGACCTGCTTCCTGCTGGGTCCCGTACATGCTTTGGTCCCTATGATTTTGTGTGGGTTTTTTTCCCCATGACACCAGCTGGGCGGCCTGCAATTCAATTCTGACACTATCTCCCCGGAGATATAACATCAGATTCCACAGGGTAAGTACTCAGTCCTATAAGACTGTCCCCTCCCCCAACTCAGACACCAATCACAAGTCCAGGTGTCACCTCTTCTTCTGACCTGAACTGGCTATCAGTCTGAGGTTCCAACGACCCTCTCCTTGGGTTTGATTAATTTGTTAGAACAGCTCACAGATCTCAGAGAAACGTTTTTCAGGAACAGCCAGATGGAAGAGATGCACAGGGTAAGGTGCACGGGAGGGGCGCAGAGCCTCCGTGCTCTCTGGGTGCTACTCTCCCCATATCTCCACATGTTCACCAAAGTGGAAGCTCTTAACCTCGTCCTTTGAGGGTTTTATGGTGGCTTCGCTACATAGACATGATTGATTGAATCATTGGCTGTTGGTGATTGACCTCAATCTCCAGCCCCTCTTCCCTCCCAAGAGGTGGGGAAGGGGGGATGTGCTCTAATCCTCTAACCGTGTGGTTGGTTCCCTTGGCAGCAAGCCCCCATCGCCAGGTGCCTTCCTAAAGGAACCTCAACAACATAACAAAAGACACCTTTGTTTTGCTCTCCTCCCAGGAAATTCCAAGGGTGTTTAGGAGCTCTACCAGGATGGGGACAAAAACCAAATATATATTTCTTATCATAAATCACAGTATCCCATTCCCCGGCAGCCTTGTCTTTCCAGCCTAGAAAGGCCCCTTCCTCCACTGGCACCCTCCCTCCATCCCTGGCTTTTATTAGCAGAACAGATTGGGTGAGAACTTCCCTGATGGTCCAGTGGTTAAGACTTCGCACTTCCACTGCAGGGGGCACGGGCTTGATCCGTGATCCCTGGTCTGGGAATTTCCACTGCCTTGTGGTGCAACCAAAAATAAACAAAAAACAAAAAAACAGATGGGGTGGAGAACTGACATGGAATTCTGAGCACCTCAGTGACTTTGACCTTATTTTTTTTTAATATTTATTTATTTATTTCGTTGCACTAGGTCTTAGTTGCAGCAGATGGGCTCCTTAGTTGTGGCATGTAAACACTTAGTTGCATCATGCCTGTGGGATCTATTTCCCTGACCAAGGAACAAACCTGGGCCCCCTGCATTGGGAGCGTGGAGTCTTAACCACTGTGCCACAAGGACAGACCCATGACCTTATTTTTAATCCCACTTTACAGATTCAGAAACTCAAGTCCAATTTTCAAAAATAAAAAGGACTAAGTTTAAAAAGGTGAGAAAGAGATAAACAAACTGAGGTTTAGAAAGAGGCCAAGAGGGAAGCCGAGGTTCCAAGTCAAGTCACCCTGATCTGACCCTCTGTCCTCAACCATAAAAAATTATGGTGGTTTTCATGACTATCACGTTCAAATGATTACCACACGCAGATTGTCCTCAGTGCTTTACATGGGTTATTTATTTAATCCTCAGAGCAACCCTACAAGTTATGTACCCTTATTAGCCCCATTATACAGATGAGGAAATGGAGTCACCAAGCCGGTAGGTGACTTTCCCAAGGTCTCTAGTGGGTAAGCATTGGAGCTTCAGGCTTGAGGCAGGAGATAGATGGGCCCCAGGCTGAGCAGCCAGAGTCTGTTGCCTGCGGACAGATACTCCAAGATGAGGAGCAAAAGAATAGCCCTTAGCTATAGCCCTGGTGGCGCAGTGGTTGAGAGTCCGCCTGCCGATGCAGGGGACGTGGGTTCGTGCCCCGGTCCGGGAGGATCCCACATGCCGCGGAGCGGCTGGGCCCTTGAGCCATGGCCGCTGAGGCTGCGCATCCGGAGCCTGTGCTCCGCAACGGGAGAGGCCACAGCAGTGAGAGGCCCGCGTACCGCAAAAAAAGAATAGCTGAGCTGTGCCCAGAAAAGAGATAAAAGACCAAATATTCCTCATTCTTGAAGTCAAGGAGTCCTTCCCAACTCTACATGTGCAGAAAGGCTCCTCAGAGGTCAAAAGGGAGGGGGCATCATCTCATAGTAAGTGATGTCAACCTACCCATAGCTCTCTTCGCTAGAATCCATCTTGGCTAAGAGATGCGTGTGCACACATGGGAGGACTCTGAGATAAACCAAATACGGCCTCAGAACCAGGCAAAGCAAGATGATTGGCCAAAGGAAACCGGGAAGGAATGCCCCATATAAGTGATTCAAACTATCACAAGGGCATGACTCTCTCTCTCTCTCTCTCTCAGCCCGCCCGTGTGTCTATCCACACGTAACCCTTTTCCTCCTAATAAACACTTTACTTGTTTCACTACTTTCCATCTCTATATGGAAATTCGTCTCTACACAGCTGATGGGCCAGGGCTTTGTAACTGGCCACTTGTCCCTTGTGGTCTAGTGACTAGGATTCAGCGCTCTCACTGCCGTGACCTGACCTCAACCCCTGGCTGGGAACTGAAACCCTGCTTCAAGCCGCTGCAGGCTGAGGCCACCCAGCATCGGGCAGATGAGCTCTGGTGCCCGTGAGTCTTTGCGAGAATGTAGAGTCATGGCCAAAGTCTCAGGGCCCTCTCTCTCCAGGACAGCTCAGCACCACTTTTCTCGAAGGCATCCTTCTGCCCTTGGCCATGAGGAAGCTCCCCTGCTCTTTCTCTGCCTTTCCAGGGACTTGGGAGAGACGCCTTCCTCATGAGTAAGGTCCGTGATCCGTTAGAAAACACCTCTCTGAGTATTATCTAATTCCATGCCTATTTTACAGATGGGGAAGGTCCCTTGGCTCCTGAGAGGTGAAAGCAGGATAGAATCCAGGTGTCTCAACTCCTCTGTCTGGTGTTCTCCCTGGCACCTAAAACCCCCCATCACGGAAAGCTCTCTGTTACAACAGAATGCGAAGCAATGTATTGACAGAAGGAATGATGGATTGGAGAACCAGCACACCAGGGGGTGAATGTTTGCTGAGAGGCGGGATAATTGAGTAGTCTCAAAATATCTCCCCATAATATACTTTCTATTTCCAAAGAGAAACACGGTAGCTGTAGAGTGGAGAAACCTGGCCAACCCCATCTCGCCCAGTGATCAAAGATCTATCAGCAGTAATAGGACAAGCCGTACGATGAGCCTTGGGTTTGAATGCAATTAGAAGGACACAACATCACCTCTGGGGTGTTGCTGCCTGTTATGGGTTGAACTGTGCCTCTATTCATATATTGAAGCCCTAATCCCCAGTACCTCAGAATGTGACTGTATTTGGAGATGGGGTCTTTAAGAAGTGATGAAGTTAAAATGGGGCCATTAGGGTGGGTCCTAATCCAATCAGGCTGGTGTCCTTAGAAGGAGAAGAAATTTGGACCCATAAAGAGACATCAGGTGTGTATGCGCACATGTGAGGGCTTAGCAAGAAGGCGGACACCTGCAAGTCAAGGGGAGAGAAGCCTCAGAAGAAGCCAGACTTCTGACACCATGATCTTGGACTTCCAACTTCCAGAGCTGTGAGAAAATACATTTCTATTGTTTCAGCCACCAAGTCTATGGTATTTTGTTATGGTGGCCCTAGCAACCCATACATCACCAAAAATGCACAAACTGCGTCTAAGCAGGGGGAAACACGAGACAAACCCAAATGAGGGCCATGCTGCAAAATAACTGGCCTGTGCTCCTCAAAAATATTCACGCTATGAAAGACACAGACAGAGGGATTGTCCCAGATTGGAAGAGGCCCAAGGAACATGATCCTGACCTTGGACTGGACCTGGCCTGGGAAAAAATCTTTCTCCTTTGCTGTAAAAGCATGAGGACAATAGGTGAATTGAATAAGGTTCATAGATTAGACAGTTGTGTCATACCAATGTTGAATCCCTGATTTTGATCTTTTAACTGTGGTTGCTTGTTTTTTAAGAAATACACACAGCAGTGTTCAGAGTCCGTCACGTCTGCAACCAGCTCTCTCACGCTATATGGAAGAAATTGTGTGTGTGTGTATGTGTGTGCGCGCGTACATACAATCAGAGAGAAGGTGAGCGCTGAAACAAATGTAAAAGGAAGTTAACAGTTAACGTTTGAGCAATCTGGGTGAAGGATATATGGAACTTCTTTTCAGTAAGAATGGAAGTATTTCAAAATAAAAAGTTGAAAACCTCCCATCGTCCCGCAGGAAGGTCACCTCACCAGCCCCTGCCCCCCGCCAGCCACATCTCCTCCCCTTCCCAGCCCAGCTTAAGTCCGATGTTTCCCCACCTCTCTATGCCCTGCCCTCCCCCCCCCCCAAATCCCCTCCGCTTCGGCACAATACCGCTCCCCCCGACGGCACCCCCTGTGCCCACTGGCGCCTCTGCTTCTGCTCAGGCAGCCTTCCCTCCAGAAACTGCCCTGCCTCTGGGTTCGCAGGTTCTACCTGCTCTGCTCCCAGGGCCCTTAACGCACGGAGCTTCCCCCACCTCGGCGCTAACCACAGTAAAAGCTGATCACTACCAAGTGTTCAGTCATTGTCACAAATGACTTATCACCCCCAGTATTTGTCTCTTTCAGTCTCCCGTCACCCTGCGAGGTAAGCAATATCAACCCCAATCCACAAACGGGAAACCGAAGCTCAGAAAAATGATGTGTCCCAGGTCACAGCCAGAAAGTGACCAGGGAGCTGGACTGGAACCAGACTCTAACTACCAGGCCACATGCTCTCCCCGCTGCTATGAATTATAACGACCTGTGGGGACTAACGCTGGCTGAGCTGGGCTCCTCCAGACCCTGCGGTAAGGCTTCCAGGAGATGAGGACTGAGGACAGGGACAGCCCCTCCCTCGGAGGACGGCCCCTGATGAGCTAATACAAGCAAGGCTTGGGACCCTGCTGGGCGCGTGGGAAGCGCCCCTGTCTGTGAACCAGGCTGGTTGTTGTTAATAGACTTTATTTCTTAGAACTGTCCCAGATTTACAGAAAACCTGAGAAGATAGCACAGAAAGTTCCCATATACCCCACACAGCTCCCCCCTGTAATTAACATCTCACATTAGGATGGTACATTTATTACAATTAATGAACCAATGTTGACACATTGTTATAACTAAAGTCCACTTCCTTAGCTCTCACCTAAGGTCCTTCTCTGTTTTAGGATCCCAGCCAGGAGGCCACATTATCTAATTGTCTGTTCTCTTGTTTGTTATCGGTAACAGCCACGGTGGTATTAATGGCCTTAATCCCCCAGGAGACCTCTAGGAGGTGCTTCTTCTCCTGAGTGGGGAGTCTTCTCAGCAGAGTCCAACGGCCTCTGGCTTCCCCCTTCAGCATCCGTGACTCCTTCCCTGCATCCCTGTCTCCCCTCCCCCCATTCCAGATGAATTGGGAACCCGTCTGAGGTGAACAGCTGCTCCATCTGTCATCACGGGTGACCGCCGAGCCCCAGGGGCGCACGGTCTTTTTCTGCCAATTACAAAGACTGCCATGTGCTGGAGAAGGTAGGGATCTCACTGCTCTGGGGGAGACCCCACGGCTGGGAACCAGCTTGCCCTAACACAGTGTCAGGCTAGAGAGGCCCCTCAAGGACCAGGGACACATCGGAAGCCAAGGCCGCTCAGCGGGCTGGTGGGCGAGGAAGGCTAAGTCCTGGGCACTGATCCTTCCTCTGCCCGGATGCTGCTCCCCTGTCGCCCTCTCTCCTGTAGGATGGGCGCTCCCACCTGAGGGTGTTCATGGAAGCTGTGCAGCCCGGCGGTCACTCTGATCACCTGTCCCAAACCTGATCACACCTGGACTCCAGACTCCCGCCTGGCACCACCCACCACATTCTCACTTCCTGCCCCTCATCCGCATCCCCTCCGCCCTACCCCAGAGGACAGCTTAGCCCATTTAACCCCTGCCTCACTGTCCCTGGACCAACCCACCCCACCCTAGCTCGACCCCAGCGGGGCACCTTGGAACACGGTGGGGAGCCGCTGACAAGCCAGCTTACGGAGGTACGGAGGAGTCCTCGTTGCGCGCACACTCTGTCGGGAGCCTTCCTGAGGATCGGGGGGACTGACAGCCCTTTGCTGGGCTCTACGAAGCCACTGCCCTCCATTTCCCTGGAGGTCTGCTGCCCACGTGGCTCCTTCTCATGTCCTCACCACGCTTGTCCCCAGCCCTAGGTACCCTCTGACTCAGGAACAGTGCCAGGTGGCCTCCAGGCACATCCCCTGCAGAGTGAGAAGAAGTTCAAAGGAAGCCCATCAGCTGGCTGCTGTCATGACAACACCAGAGAGGGTCCCTCTTACTATGGCAACACTGGTGCCACTTTCCAAACCAAGCAAGGCCCTTGTCCCCTGAATGCTGAAGGAATAGGAGGGCTTCCTCCCCCACCCCATCCACCAGCGATGAAACTGCTCCACGCCCCGTTCCCAGGAGAGCCTGGCCCCCAGAATGGACCGCAGAAGAGATCTTTAGATGTGGTGACCACCTGCCCCAGCCTGATAACAGTTAATCTATCTTTACATGTAGCCCTACCCGTAGATCTAGAACATTCCAGCGTGGATGATAAATTAAATGGTGACCCTACTTTTAGAGTGTAGTTTGCCTGTCTGTTGCCTGCACGAGAAAGTCTGGTCTGTGAAGGCTTTGCTGGAGTTACCACTGCAAGAAAGGGCAGTGAGAGAAGCCAGGTCAGCCCTCAAATGCTGACGGTCGCCCAGGCCCTCCCCACACTGTGTTTATGATGGACCTTAACCCCAAGGCACTGACCCTCCTCTTTGATCTGCCTTCGTCCCAGTGACTGTCCAGTGCTTCAGAAACAGTCACTTCGTCCTGGTGGTGTCCCGAGAAACAGCCTTGGTGTGCAGGACACTAATCAATGTCCAACTGGTCTGCACCGCCCCCCAGCTGCTCCCCAACCAGGAGGCGGGATCCTCCGTGGTCTCCACGGCTGGCCCTCTCACCTGCTGTGACACCACAGTCCAGGTAGAGTGGGGGCCACACTGGTGCCCATGACCACCCCCTGGGAGGGCCTCGCCCAGCTGTCTCTTCCTACAGGTGGACAGCATCCAGCAGAACCAGTTGGTGTCCAACATCGGCATCTGGATGGGGCCACACGGTTCCATCATGTGGGACGGCGCCTTCCTCACACAGGCTGGGCCGCGGGCTTGGGTGTGAAGGGAGCACAGGTGAGCTTAGCACAGGCTTTGGAGCCATCTGGGGTCATGTCCAAGCTCTGCTATCACCTACTGTGTGACCTCGGATGAGCTACTTACCTCTTCCCAGCACCACCGGCCCCCCAGGCCGGGGCAACGCCTCTCAACCAGAGCTGATGTGAGCATTAGACCGGGCCTGCCCACGCCTGGCAGGCAGAAGCCACAGCAGGGCCTGAGAGGGCCGGAGTCCTCGAGAGCCCTCACCTTTATCCCTCCAGGAACTGAGCTGAGAAACGAAGCACCAAGGAGCTGAAAAGTCCCCTTCCAGGCCCCAGGAAGAAGCCAAGGCTGTGCCTGACCGTTGCCACCTCCTGATCTCAGAGGTTACAAAGCCACAGATGAGGCAGAAGACAGCTGGGGCTGAAGCTCTGAGGGTACGGGGTGGGGTGGGGGAGGAGCTGAGGGAGAACCCCTCACTGAAAGGGGCCACCGGCACCTGCTGACTCAGGTGGCAAAACGAGCCAGGAACCCAGGATGCCAGGGGGTAACCCCTGAGGACATCTGAGCTTGTCACACCTGTCTCTGAACCCCAGCCGCCAGGCGCCAACCTCAGCCTGAACTAATACGGTAACCAGGGGGTGTAGGAATTCTGTGCTTGGCACTGAGTGGTTTCCAGATGTCTTTTTTTCCCACCCTTCCTGCCATGAGGGCTGGGGCAGGCTGCTGGCATCAGGGTTCAAATGTCTTTTCCATTAAAATGTTATGTATTCCCAGGGGGACCGGGGGACAAACCTGTCATGCTTTGGACACCAGGATTTAAAAGCTACGGGAGCTAGCCAGAATTCATCACAGAAGGGAAGTGTAAGGCGAAACAGCTGTAGGCCATCAGGAATGAGCTGGAGGGCCCCGCAGAGGAAAGGCCTTCCGGTCGGGGTGGAATCACTCGTGTGTACTGACACCTTCTTTGTGCCAGGCCCTGGTCTCCATTGGTAGGACGTCCTCCCCAAGGGCACCGGCCCAGGCCCGAACCCAGGGCTCTGCCACAAGTAGAAGTGAAGGTCGAGCGCTCAGGAGCTGGGGGAGGGCGGGTCAGCTCTTCTTGCAGAACATCTCCGGGTGCCAGCGTGCCCCTACCCCCACCGGGTGTGTGCAGTGCCACGCAGGCCAGCCAGGCGCACGGGATCCAGTGGCAGACCAGCCACAACTGCAAGGACAAGGATGACCCCAGCGCGCTATCTCGTGACCTCACTTGATCCTTAAGCACAGCCTTTGGAGGGAGGGGGTCAGCGCCATTGTGCAAATGAAGAAATTGAGGCTTAGGTTAAGCGGCCAGTGAATGCTGATAAGATTCAAACCTGGGTCTGTGAGATGACAGAGCTTTCAGAACAGGGTGGGCATCTGTCAGCCCCATGGGGCTCCAGCCTCTCCATCTAGAAGATGGCCTGGCACAGCAGACTCGAACTGTCCCGAGAAGACAAGACGTGGTGGGCAGAGGACGGGGCAACGATGCACATCACCCAGGTGATTGCAGGTGGCATCCATCCGCCCCGCTGGACCAAGCCTCGTATGTCGCATCCACATAGTACAGTAATCTGGATGCGCTGATTCTGTGTCTTCTCTCCTCCATCCTCTCCAACTGGGACTTCAGGCTTCACATCCACTGTGTCTTCAATGCCAGTGACTTCCTGCCCCTCCAGGCGTCTCTCTTTCCTCCCCCATCCAGCCACTGTGACCCAGTACAGCCCCCTGAGGCTTCAGCTGCAGATCGACAAGGGAAAAGGGTACGGTGTCCCTGTGCTTTCTCTACCCACCCCCACTTCCCAGACATATAGCCGACCGAAGTTCATGAGCCCCTCTCCCTGCAGACAAGGCTTTTAGTTCCTACCACAGGGAGGGGGACCACCCCATTGTGGGGCTGCTTCAAGAGTCTGACCCCATGGAGGTCTGGCTCCTGCAGAGGACAGACCCCATTCTGGTCCTGGTGCTGCACCAGCACTGGGCCGCTCCCACCGCCAACCCCTTCCAGTGGCCCATCCAGTCAGGCGAGTGGCGGTGGTGCTGGAGCTGCCCCTCCCCTCCCCGTCCTTGACTTCTCACCTCCTCAGGTGTCCTTTTGGTGACAGCTCAGGACCTGAATGATGGCCTTGGAAGGGTAGCTCTGCCCTGCCACTCTCACTACCAGTGCTTCACCATTGCCACCTTCGCCCCCCTGGACACTGGCTCCTGGAGGGCCCGCGGGGGACCACTCAGAAGCATGTGTTCCTCCTGCCTGCTCCCCGTCTGCTAGGCAGGGATGAGCGGGTCACCAAATCCCTCCAGCCCCCTGCGAGCTAATGCGGACAAAGGTCCCCGGACGGGACTTGGTCTTCCTGAGTGCTGTGCAGGGCAGTGAGCCCCGACCTGCAAACCACTCCAGAGGGAGGAAGGAAAATGCCGGATCGCGAAGGCAATCAACCCTAACCTGAGCCGGGCATGGTGCTCCAGAGTGGCCTCACTTCTGACTCTAGAAATGATGTGTTCAGCATAATTCTGCTTTGAATTTTATTTTAATTCATTAGTTTATTTTTGGCCGCGTTGGCTCTTCGTTGCTGCGTGCGGGCTTCTCACTGCGGTGGCTTCTCTTGTTGCGGAGCTCGGGCTCTAGGCACGTGGGCTTCAGTAGTTGTGGCTTGCAGGCTCTAGAGCATGGGCTCAGTAGCTGTGGCGCACGGGCTTTAGTTGCTCCACGGCATGTGGGATCTTCCCGGACCAGGGCTCGAACCCATGTCCCCTGCACTGGCAGGCGGATTCTTAACCACTGCGCTACCAGGGAAGTCCCTCTGCTTTGAATTTTTATAACTCAACTTCTGCGGAAGGTAAATATGGATACATTTAGTGTATATTTAGGCTTTTCTACATAATCTATAAATGGCACCATAGGCCACACACTGCTGTTTAACTTTCGTTCTACTGAACAATATAAATCTTTCACCTTAATATAGACAGATCTCTCTCTCTCTCTCTCTCTCTCTCTCTCTCTCTCTATATATATATATATATATATATATATGTATTTTAAAAATATTTCCCAGTCTTTTTTTTTAAATTTATTTTTATATTTATTTTTGACTGTGTTGGGTCTTCGTTTCTGTACGAGGGCTTTCTCTAGTTGCGGCAAGCAGGGGCCACTCTTCATTGCGGTGTGCGGGCCCCTCACTATCGCGGCCTCTCTTGTTGTGGAGCACAGGCTCCAGATGCGCAGGCTCAGTAGTTGTGGCTCACGGGCCCAGTTGCTCCGCAGCAAGTGGGATCTTCCCAGACCAGAGCTCGAACCTGTGTCCCCTGCATTGGCAGGCAGATTCTCAACCACTGCGCCACCAGGGAAGCCCTCTATATATTTTAAATAGATGCATGACATTCCATCAGATGTAGACAGATGTCACTGGTTAGCACCTGGGAGGGTGGCTGAATAACCAGCTCAGCTGCGTGCCTCTTCCTGAGCCAAGAGACCCTCGCCTGCTGGATGAAGGGGTACCTGTTAGTTACGCTGCTGGGTGCCGGTTCAGGTCAGTTCCTCCTGCTTCTACTCCTTTTTTTTTTTTTTTTAATTTATTTATTTATTTTGGTTGCGCCAGGTCTTAGTTGTGGCACGCAGGATCTTCACTGCGGCATGCATGCAGGATCTATTTCCCCGACCAGGGATCAAACCCGGCCCCCCTGCATTAGGAGCGTGGAGTCTTACCCACTGGACCACCAGGGAAGTCCCGGCTTCTACACCTTTTGGGAGCTGCCCGTGGCTTTGTGTTTCTGGAAGCCATGGTAACCCGCCCCCCCAACCCTGCCCCCCAGTCATTGGTCATTGAGGGCCAGGAAGATAGGGCGCTAGACATCTGCTCTCCTGCTGCCCAGTTAACACCACGTCCTCGGAATCCCCTCTCCCCATCTGTCGGGTGGCAAAGGGAGCAAGTCGGCCCTCCCAGGGGGACTCTGAAGGCCGGGGCCAGGGCTCTACACGGCAGAGCGGTTCCCTCCCGCAGGGTCCACTACTGCAGACGTGAGCCATCCAGAACGAGGGAGGCACAGATTCCAAATTGGGAAGCGGCACCTATGACTCTGTAACTCGTGGGACTTGGGCTGGTCAGCATGCCCAGATCTCTTCCCTCCTGCCTGGCCGGCAGCAGTGTGGACCTGGGCTGGGTTCCAGACGCCATGTCCCTGCCTCAGTGCTTCGTGCCCAGGGCTCTAAGCCAGCCCCATGCCTTGATCTTATCCTCATCCCGCCAGGTTTACTTCCTTTGCGGCACCTCTGCCTGCTGCCCCTCAGGGCTAAAGACTTACTCGACCACATGTAGCTCTGGGGCTGCAGGTGAGTCCAGGGTGGAGGACAAAATAGGGGCGTTCTTTGTTCTTTCATGTCTGCAGGCCTGTTCCTGGCTTCTGAGCCACGTGGGGAGCAGGACGGCAGTGAGCCTCAGGTCACCACAATGACATTGCCAGGCCCAGAGCATGGTGAGCTCTCCCGGGCCACTGGGTTTTGAGGATTCCTACAGGTGGGAGTCTACGCTGGGGCCTGCAGGTATGAGGCTGTGGGCAGGCCCCTCAGGCCTTGGCCCTCCAGGGTGCGCTGACAAAATGGGGAAGCTCTGGCTATAGTGAGGGCAGGAGATGGTGTAACTGAATTCATTGGGGAACTAAGCTAAGCTAGCCAGGGTCCACCTCATCTGCCAAAGGGCAGCTTCAGCTCTGCCCAGTGTGATTACCAAGGGCTGGGCTTTGGGGAGAGAGTTGGAGGGGCCCTTGCCCAGCCCTGCCATCCTCCAGATCCCTTTTGTCTGGCAGGCTCCACCATGAGCTGCAACCCAAGACCTCTCCTCTGGGTAATTCTTTTGCTGTTGGCTGTTGCCCTGGTCCGAGGGGTTGGCGTCTTTGTGGACCTGAGCCAGGCCAAGCCCAGAAGCTCCCGGAAGGCAACAGAAGGTGAACAGGCTGAACAGACCCTTGTTTCAGGCCTAGTGAAGGCAGGTGTGGAAAAGCTACTTGTGGTGACTAGACAGAAACATTCTCAGCTTAGACACTTTGTGTCCTTCCAGAGCTGCGGCCCCTGCTGGGTAGAGGCCAGTGCCTCCCAGGGCTGAATTTAGGGGACTTTGCCTCTCCACAAGGAAAGGCAGCATTCCGGGCAGAGAAAGCAGGACGAGAGAAGGTAGGGGGAGGCCAACTCACCGCAGAGTCAAAGAACAGCAGTAGCTGGGAATCGGGAGCCTGGCGGGGCTAATGGCCTGTGAGGGCTTGTCACCTTCTCACAGCCACAGGAGTTCTGACTGGGCATCCTCGAAGCATGCCACTTGGTTGCCATCATGGATGAGGGAATCCAGAGCTCCCGGGGCCGAAAGAACTAACCTTGACTTGAACAAGCTCCTCCCAGGCCCCCTCGAGCCTCCCAGCCTCCCATAGAGGATGCTGGCTACTCCTCCCCTCACCAGCCCCCCTTCCCACTTACTTGGCCCCTGGGACTGGTCCACACAGGGATGGTCGGCACAGGATGAATGGCAGCCTGTTGGCCCTGATGCCATTGTGGGCACGGCTGCCAGACAGGTCAGTACCAGTGCTGGCTGTGCTGCCGACCGTCTGCTCGTGTATGACATGGGCCTTCACCTCTGACTTGTGGGTCTGGAAAGGTCTTTGCTGCCATGTAGAGCTTCTAGGGTGGGAAAGGTAACCCAACCTAGGTGGAATGGGTTGGGTTCAGCCGGCCGCTGGAGAATCTGGTGGGGAAGTCAAACTTGGTTTCAGATACCTCTCTGGCCTTTGGTAGGGCATGAGTTAGAGAGGTGGCGTAAAGGGAACCACAGTGCTTGAGTCAGGCCCGTGGCCTTGACACCATGCAGGCACTCTCCAGCCCTGGCCAGCTCCGTCTTTTCTGTTTTCAGGATACTGGTCGAATACAAGCCAGGCTGTTTGAGTTATAACCCTGGCTCTGCCTCTTACTAGCTGTGTGATATTGAGTTATTGAACTCTTCTGGGCCTCAGTTTCCTCATCTGTAAAATGGGAATAATATCTATCCCCATAGGGGTGTTGGATAAAATGAATTAATAGATAAGAATCCTTAGAATAGTACATAACAGCCAACATTTACTGAGTACTATTAACTACCAGAATTTCTCTTCCTCCTGCCCCCAAACTAATGCTTACCTAAATTTTTTTTTCTTCCCCATACGAGGACAAGCTTATAGCTCAGGATGAGGAGGGGCTGGGGAAGCAGCTGCCTTAGGCTCTTCTAGCAGAATAAAGCACTTAGGCAGGAAGATCCAGACACTTGTTACGGAAGTTAGTTAAGGAACTCCCCTTAGCTGGGACTGTTTCCCCATCTGTGACTAGGGATGACTTGTTCTGTCCAACCTCCTGGCTTGTACAGGGCCTACGGGATATACTTTTCAGGGTTAGTGTGAAATAAGTGAGGATTCTCAGCTTGGATGTTATTTGGAGGAGCCAGGCTGACAGGCTCTGAGGGGTCAGGGATTCAGTTCCATCCAGGGCCAACTCTTCTTACCATTGCCTTCATTGCACAAGCTCATTGTGAGCGTTTAAACAGCACGCAAGGGTGGTTCTGGGAACGGCATCGATGCTGTGTTTAAACCAAGCATGAGTCTATAGATGCCAACTGGGCTCACATTACGGAACCACCTTTTCTCTTTAACTTTTTTTTCATGCGAAGGTAGACATCTTGTGTCCTTACCTATTACTTTTAACAGCTGCATTCGCCTTCGTATCATGGTTGAACTATATATTGGATCTCCTTTTTTAAAAACAATTTTTTTTAAATTAAAAACAAGTTTTAAAAAAATTTTTGACCAGGCCACATAGCTTGCAGGATCTTAGTTCCCTGACCAGGCATTGAACCTGGGCCACGGCAGTGAAAGCAGCGAATCCTAACCACTAGACCACCAGGGAACTTCCTGATCTTCGAATACAATTATGTAAGCGTGTAATTCTTCGTCTACCATTTTCTCAGAAGAAATTCTTAGAACTGCTGGGTTGAAAGCTACACCCCTCTTGACAGTAGGGCTCTGGGAACATACGGGTGCCTGTTCCCCACACTCTTGCCACCACAGGTCAGTAGCGTTCTACGGCTTTGTCTATCGGAGCATCATTGGGTAAACAGCATTGCTGATTTAACACGGACCTCTTTGATTAGACGCCAAGCATCTTTACAGCCGCTTATATCTTATAAATCGCCTCTTTGTGTCTCTTATCTATCCTCCTGAGTTTGTTTCCTTGTCTGTAAAGAGCTTTCACAAGTCAAGGGGTGGATATCCTCATGTTTCAAGTTTCCCACTGAGTTGGCCATTGGTTTTTCTTCATGGGGTCCTTCCATCCTGCTGTTTGAAAGGATTATGTAATGATGAATATTATTTCCATCCTATTTTTATCTTTAAATGTAGCAAAGACCTTCCCTACCCTATATACTCATAAAAGTATCCATTCACTTTTTGTAAAAAGTTAATGCAGGTGTTTTTCTCCTGCTGTTGCGTGTATACAGCCTCATGATTTTGATAGGTAACTTCGGCAAACGCTATTTCCATTGTACATAGATTTCTGTCAACACTTCCACGTCAAAGGGTCCTGTTTACAGAAACAAATGTACAAAGTATGTGAACAATGAAGGTCCTTGCAGCGCTAAGTTCCCTGTGCTTTCCCTGGAGGGAAGCAATCTAAGTTTTGACTTTCCTGGATATCAAAATCCAGTCCAAATTTGCCCAATTTAAAACTTCTTCCCTCACCTGAAACCACCTCCTGGTATAAGAAGGCACCTGAGCCTTGAGAACAGTTGAGTCAGACTTGATGGGGATAATTAACAAACCACTTTTGCTGACTTGCGGCAGGAAGCAGAGCTGCTCGGCGCCTGTCAGGTTTTCTCTCTTCCTGCCTTTTGGGGAGAGGGCCAGGGGCCGTGACTGCAGCTAGGGGATACCCAAGGGGGATCTCCTCCCTCTCCATCTACCCCTGGCTCCCTCATCTTTACACTGAGATCATGGCGCTTTGCCTTAAATAAAAAGGAGAATACTTCACAGCCTGTTTCTTCAACTTAAGCAAAATTCAACTCTGTAAAGTGTGACTCCATGCCCAGACATTTCTGTAAGGGTGTTTTACATAAAAGTGCCACTCTGGGGCTTCCCTGGTGGCTCAGTGGTTAAGAGTCCGCCTGCCAGTGCAGGGGACCCGGGTTCGAGCCCTGGTCCAGGAAGATCGCACATGCTGCGGAGCAACTAAGCCTGTACGCCACAACTATGGAGCCTGCGCTCTACAGCCTGTGAGCCACAACTAGTGAGCCCATGAGCCACAACTACTGAAGCCCGTGCGCCTAGAGCCCGTGCTCTACAACAAGAGAGGCCACGGCAATGAGAAGCCCGCATACCACAATGAAGAGTAGCCCCCGCTCGCTGCAACTAGAGAAAGCCTGCACGCAGCAACAAAGACCCAACACAGCCAAAAATAAATATAAATAAAATAAATTTAAAAAAGAAAAAGTACCACTCTGTTCCAGCAGTAGGAAGACCAGATACCCAGGTCAACTTTCAGAAGCAAACAACTAAAATCCCAGATTATTTATGTGTGTGTGTTTTTAAAAACATGTTTAAAACATTGCTGAGCTAATATTAAAAAAAAAAAAAAAAAAAGGCATGCACAGAGGCCAAAAATAAAGTAAAAACAAAAACTCTGGGAAGTGAGCCCAGCTTCTATTCTGGGATTTCTGCAGAAGCCTGGAGGTCTTGACATTCTGCTTTGATGAGCACAGGGAACTGCAGATCAGCCCAGAGGCTGCCAGAGATGGGGAGCCTAGTGTAGGCCTCTGTCCAAGCTGGGACTCAGGGGGCTTCATCTTCAGGCCAGAGTGAAGGAGAAACAAACCACCGCACGGAAGTGGGCAACAAGGGATCTTGCCTATCTTGACTATGGTGCTGGATGGATGAAAAAAAAAAATCTACCCTGAGGATTAAGAGTACAATTCCCTCTTCTCTGGTCCAGATTCTTAGTCTAGGGCAGGGGTGAGGACTCTTGAAAGTTCAGTTTGGAGAAAACCTCAAGGGCTGAATTTAATTTAAAGTGATCCCAGGGTGAGAATTAAAGTGGTCTGGGCTCAAGCAGAAGCAAATGCAAACCCTGACTGAAAAAAGAAGACATGATTTCAGCCAAAGTCTCAAAGAATTCTCAAAGTCACAGATAAAATGAGCATTTCACAAACCCCAAATCACAAGACACCATAAAAAAGAGTGAAAAGGGGCTTCCCTGGTGGCGCAGTGGTTGAGAGTCCGCCTGCCGATGCGGGGGACGCGGGTTCGTGCCCCGGTCCGGGAGGATCCCACATGCCGCGGAGCGGCTGGGCCCGTGAGCCTTGGCCGCTGAGCCTGCGCGTCCGGAGCCTGTGCTCCGCAATGGGAGAGGCCACAGCAGTGAGAGGCCCGCGTACCGCAAAAAAAAAAAAAAAAAAGAAAAATATATAGTGACAAAATTATAGAAGCAAAGGAATAATCAACCCCTATTTCAGGGTAGCAGTTTCCTCTGCGGGGGGAGAAAGAGGGATGCATTCCTGGAAGGGCACACAGAGGGCCCCCAATGCTGTCTTTGCTAAGCTGAGTGGTGGATACAAGGGTGGTTATTATCCTTTAAACTGAAAAGATATGTTTTAGACACTTCTGAATGAATGTATCAAAATAAAAAACGAAAAAACTTCTAAAATGTTGGTTAAAGACCTGTTCCAAATTCTGAAAAACTTCAGATGAGATCTTAGACTTCACGCTGCTGGTTTGAAACCAGCCACCTCCCAACCTGCCTTACGACGACCTGCTGGGCGTTATTCCACCATTCCTGCCCTCCACCCTCCACGCTGTCCGTCTTCCCCTTCTGGCTCTCTCCTCCCTCCTCACTTCAGCAAGGCAGTGGGGCTGCCAGAGCCTCTCCTTCCACAAGCCACCCCTACCCTGGGTCCACCTAGTGAATTTTTACTTCTCCAAAATGTGCCTATGTCGCCTCTCCCCAGATTTACCTTTCATAACAGCTGCACCCCGTCCTCTGCATTGGCACCTCTGTGAGAACTCTACAGCCCCACGGTTGTATCACCTGTGTGCTCCCACCTCCCTGCCTAATCACGTTCCACTTCGTGTTATCAGAGCCTTATAAACGTAAGACTTATGAAGGAAGAAGGCCATGTCAGCCCTCACCTTTATAACGCAGGTGTGGAGGGTCACGGACCACCAGGACCCCAGCAGTGTCAGTGGATGCCAGTGCAGACAGGAGCAGGGAAAAAGCAGCCAGCTATGGAGTGCTTCCCATGCTCTGCACACAACAGCCCTGTGCAGTAGGCACCATTAACTCAGTTTTACAGGTGCAGAAGCTGAGACACAAACAAATAAGTCATAGAGAGCTGCAGCTCTGGGATTCAAACCTGGCTTCTGACTCCAGAGCCCACGCCTAACCATAGCACTACATCCTGGAACACCGTGGAGCTGCCCGCTCCTGTCTCAGCTGTTGATGGAGCAGTCAGCTGTCTCTGTAGCCAGAGAGCTTAAAATCCCGGCTCTACTACTTATGGTTTCCAGTCTGTGGAACGGGGAAAACAGGGCCCAGCCGTGGTGCTGACAGCTCGGTCCTGGGGCCAGTG